TTGTAACATACACAATCGGCCTTGTCTAAATAAGGAAAGTAATAAAGATCTACATGTAGAAATTACATTTATGATGCTTATGATATGGGCATCAGATATAGTAAGTTTTATAATAATTGAATATTCGTAAAACATTCAATCGACTTTTAGCAAATTATTCTGTGTTGCTATAGTGTGTTAACTATACTCATTATAAATCGTAATATTTATCATTATCTGTTATATAATAATATTTATCGTATATAAATTTAGAATAAAGGATTAAGCACGATTAAAGATCCTCCAATATATCCTCTCTTTTCTTATAACAGAATATCATCCAAAAAAAGATATTCACCTACATCACCGCCACCACAAGAGTCTTTGCCACCACAAGAGTCTTTGCCACCACAAGAGTCTTTGCTACCACAAGAACCTTTGCTACTACAAACACCTTTTTTATTACAAGCACATTCGTTGTCACAAGCATCTTTGTTGCCCCAAGCACCATCAGTCCCATTATCGCAAGTACCAAGTAATTGGGCCTTTGGTCCTTCAGTGTTTCAGCTATTTTTGCCACCATTTAACACTTATCACACACCGTCGTTGATGCCATTCAACCCGTACCATACACCAACACCACAATTTATTTCATCTCCATTTCAAGTTAGTCAATATCAACCTACTTGGGCAGCTCCAAAATTTGAATACATTCATAAAAAAGTTTTGGAACATAATTATCAAATAAATTTAAAAAAATCTTTCAAGTTTTCCCTTTGTGGTCGGTGCCACAATATTTTGCTCAAACTGAATCCTGAAAAAACTGGAAAAAAATCAACAAATAAAGCAACGGTTAATGCAATGGATGTGGTAATGGATAAAGCAATAGATGTAGTAATGGATAATGCAAGAGATGAATTGATGGATGTGGTAACTGATACAGCAACGGATGTGGTAATAGTTACAGCAATGAATATTATAACTAGAACCAATATAATTTATTGTTATTATTTGTTTTTATAAGTTTATTTAGATACATCGTATATATTTTTTTTTTAGGGAACCTGATCATCTTCTCCTTCCATTATCATAACAACAACCAACATTATATATTCCATCAACATAATCCATGTCAGCAGATTTTTTATAATAGATAAATGCTTTAGTTTTATCCATTTCAACACCAATTCCATTCTCATAACAATATCCAACATTATTTATTCCAATTAGATGACCCATACTAGCGGCTTTCTTATAATAAATAAATTCCTTATTTTCATCCTTATCAACACCAATTCCTTTATTATAACAGACACCAACACTAAAAAGTCCTTCAGCACATTCCATATCAGCAGACTTTTTATAATGAATAAATGCCTTATACTCATTTTTTTCTACCCATTTACCAAAACGATAACACCTTGCAAGAACAATTTGAGCCATAGGATTGTTTTGATTAT